ATCTCCAAAGGACACATTAGCTCTCACCGTTTTATTGATCTCCACAAACTTCTCTTTGCATCCACAAATATGATTGCTTGCGCCATTGTCCAAATACCACGAGCTACAATCATCCATGTCTTCTTCCTTGAGTGCCAGCAACTACGTTGACTCATCTTCTTCTTTTTTGTCGTCAACAAGGTTAGCTTTTTCTTTAACATTGTTACGACATTCCCAAGAGTAATGGCCAAATTTATGACAATTATAACACTCAATTTTTGATTTGTCATACCTTTGTTCATTATTTTCTTGGTAGTAGCCACGTCCTCTTCCTCCTTTTTGTCCACGACCACGACCTCTGAATGTTTGGTGGATTTTAACTTCATTGTTGAAGTTACAGTTATTTCTTCCTCTTCCATGACCACCCCGGCCTCGTCCGTTTCCTCGATAACTCTTTTCACCTCCATGGTCCTTAAAGGATGCCTGAGTTTTAAGAAATTGCTCCAGTGACACTTATTGTCTCCTTTTGATCTTTTTTTCGTGGGCCTGTAAAGAACCCTCCAATTGCTCTACTATCATAGAGTCTAAATCTTTAGACTCCTCAATAGCACACACCACAAAATCAAATTTAGGTGTTAAAGTGCGAAGGATCTTTTCTACCACACGGACATCTTCTATGTTTTCCCTGTATCTTCTTAATTGATTCTTAATTGATTCACAACAACCTTCACTTTGAACAATAATCCGAAATGCATTCGGATTCTTTCATTTTTAAAACTTCAAAATCAGCCCTTAGAGTTTGAAGTTTTACCTTACTCACCTTATCAAATCCTTGAAGAGAATTTTGTAAAATTTCCCTAGCTTCCTTTGAGGTGGAAGCATCTGCCACCTTCTCAAACATGGCATCATCCAGACATTGGTGGATGAGCGTGAGGGCTTGTTGATCCTTTTTCCTTGTCTTTGCCAAGACATCTTTTTCAATTTGAGGCAGAGCTTCCTCATTATCGAGTTTTGCATACCCTCTATCTACGATTTCCCATACATCTTGAGAGCCAAAAATATCTTTCATACGTAGACACCATTTCTCATAATTATCTTTTGTGAGATGAGGATACTGAAAAGACAACGGACCATTATTCGCCATGGCTCTGATACCACGGTGTTGTGAAAAATAATATCCCACCCAGGAATAATATCCACGATAAATAATAATGACACTAGAGAGTAACAATGACATCAAATCTTTTAACGTGGTAAAATACAATACCTGAGTGGAGCAATATAATATCACTATAATATTACAACTTTGTAGTGTCAAAAGACTACTACGACTCAAAAGAAATAACACTCTTTATTTTAAATATCTCATCACAATATTACTCCCACTCTATTTTATCACAGACTATAAAATAGTCTGTGGATTACTCTCACAGCTCTAATACTTCTTTCTTATTTTTGGTGTGTTTGATATGAAACTAAATGGTTCTATTTATAAGGGAAGGAGTCGTCTAATTCAGCTAATCAAATTTGACTTTTGCAATTTGCATTGCAAATTGCTAACTTTTCGGCCGCCCATATGCAATTAGAACATGAACCCATCGCCCATAGCCACAATTTCCTCCAATCATTTTTTTTTTACTTTATTTATTTAGGTAGGTCCCACAGATCTCTCCCTTAATTTTGATTTTTCTTCTTCATCCCAAGACTTTCAATCTCTGAAAATCTTCAAATTTGAGAGGTTTTGTGAAAATATCTGCAGTTTGGTCATGAGATTTCACATACTTGAGCTCGACTTCTTTTTTGCTAATGCATTCTCTTATCAAGTGATATCTTGTATCTATATGCTTGCTTCGATCATGATACACCGGATTCTTGGCAAGTGCATGTGCGGATTTGTTGTCAATACAAATCTTTGTAGCTTCAATTTGTGGTAAATTGAGCTCCTTCAACAATTTTCTCAACCAAATAGTATGACAGGTACAAAATGTTGCTGCTATATATTAAGTTTCACAAGTCGAGAGAGTAACAATTGATTGTTTCTTTGAATTCCAGGAAATAACACAATCACCCAAGAAAAATCACAAAACCAGTTGTGCTTTTTCTATCATCAATATCTCATAAGGTTGAAATCATTAGAAGAAGAATAAAATAACCTAAAGTCAATCGTTCCTTTTAGGTAACGAAGAATTCTTCTAGTGACTTTCAAATGAGCGGAGGTAGGAGCTTCCATGAAATGGCTTACTACTCCAACTGCAAAGAGTATATCTGGCCTGGTACAAGTCAAGTACCTCAAACTTCCCACAAGACTTTTGAAAAATGTGGGATCCACTTTTTCTCCTTCATCAAACTTGGACAATTTTGTCCCACTCTCCATCGGTGTGTTTACGGGGTTGCAATCGAGCATGTTGAATTTCTTCAATATCTCTTTTGTATAGCTTTCTTGAGAGATAAAAATTACATCCTCTATCCACTTCACTTCTAGGCCCAAGTAGTATGACATGAGCCCCACGTCTGTCATCTCGAACTCACGGGACATATCTTTGTTAAAAGTTTCAAACAAACTTGGGTTATTACCCGTGAAAATAAGATCATCAACATAATGACAAACAAGCAAGATATCTCCATTAGTATGACTTTTAAGATAAAGAGCATATTTATGGAGACGAGTAAACCCATTGTCTTGAAAATACTTGTCGATGCAACTTTTCCATGCTCGTGGGGCTTGCTTCAATCCATATAAAGCTTTGTTCAACTTCAACACTTTATCTTCATGGTTTTTTACCACGAAGCCCAATGGTTGTTCAACATAGACTTCTTTTTCAAGATAGCCTTTCAAGAAAGCTGACTTGACGTCTAGTTGATGGATCTTCCGCTTCATTTGCGCCGCCAAAGAGATGAGCAAACGAATCGTGTCTATGCGGGCAACAAGTGCATAGACTTCTTCATAGTCAATGCCTTGCCTTTGCTTGTAGCCTTTAGCCACAAGTCATGCCTGGTATCTCTTCACATCTCTATCAACATTCTTCTTTGTCTTTTATACCCATTTTACTCCAATTGCTCGATGACCCTTGGGAAGAGTTGTTAACTCCAAGTGTTGTTCTTCTCTATTGATTCAATCTCCTTGTCTATGGCTTGTCTCCACCTTTTGTCTGTAACAACTTCATCAAAGTTCATTGGTTCACTATCAGCAAAGAGACAATATAAAAAATCAAAATTAGTAACTTCTTCCGTGCCATCATAGAGCTTTTGAATGCTCCTTATCCTTTGCGGTTGCTCATTTGAACTTTGCTGTGAAGAAGGAGATGCAACATTGGTTGGAGAAGGAGGTGGAGTTGTATCTTGCACAGGTTCCACGGTCTCTGGTTCTTCTTCATCACTAAAGTATGGAAGAAAATCATATAAAGTTTCTTCCCGAGCTTCCCAATTCCATACCAATTCAACATCACGACTCACCACCACCTTGCCGCTACTTGGGTTGTATAGCTTGTAGCCTTTTGAACTCGTATCATAGCCAACAAACACATGCTTGACACTTCGATCGTCAAGCTTCGTTCTCCCTTGATGTGGTACATGAGCATAGGCTATGCTCCCAAAGATTCTCAAGTGCTTGACACTTGGCTTTCTTCTTCTCCATGCTTCTTGAGGGGTTTGATCTCTAACATTCCTTGTTGGAAACCTGTTATTTAAATAAACTGCACAAGAAACAGCTTCGGCCCAAAATTCACTGGGCATACTTTTAGCTTTCAACATACATCTAGCCATATTAAAAATCGTTCGATTATTTCTCTCTGCAACTCCATTTTGTAGAGGTGAATAAGGTGCCGTTAGAGGACGACGAATTCCATGAGACCGACATAAGTTATTAAATTCTTTTGAAATGAATTCGCCTCCTCTATCAGACCTTAAAGCTTTTATTTCATAGCCACTTTCTTTTTCTACAAGTACTTTAAAAATTTTAAAAACAACAAAAGCTTCAGACTTTTGGTTCAAGAAATAAACCAAGTCTTTCTACTAAAGTCATCAATGAAAAGCAGAAAGTATTTACTTTAAAAAAAAAAGGTGGATTGATTGGTCCACACACATCAGTTTGAACAAGTTGGAGTGGCATGGTTTCTCTTGACATGGATTCCTTCGGAAAACTCCTCCTTGCATGTTTTCCAAGAAAACAAGCTTCACACAATTGATTCGGATGGTTGATTGATGGTATCCCATGCACCATGTTCTTTTCTCCCATTGATTTGAGCGCTTCAAAATTCAAGTGCCCAAATCGCATGTACCAACACCATGATTCATCTTGCACATTAACCTTCAAACACTTTGCATCAATTGTTTTAAGATTCAGAGAAAATAATCTATTATTCACCATATGCACTTTAGCAATTAGAATTCCACTTTAATCTCTAAACCAAAGATGCATATTATTTTCATGTGGATATCATATCCCTTTTTAAGAAATTGGCCCAAACTCAAAATATTACTTTTTAATTTTGGGACATAATAAACATCTTGAATTAACTTGTGACTACCATCTTTACGGGAGATCAGAATCGTACCTATCCCTTCGATTTGAATCTTTGAGATATCTCCAAAATAATATGTAATCAGTGACCGATGGTGAAAATGCCTTTCACTTTTCTGCATGTTAAGAAGCTATGTTTAATGGAATATTCAGTTTTTAAAAAAAAATAGAAGCTTGCCTTTTGATGGGTCTTCTCATTCATTGGTTCTCACATTGTGTAAGCAAATTCCATTTCTTTTGATGTCTGCCAAAATATCGATTAAAGCTGGCCTATGCTGTTGCAGCTTCAAGCTGTTCTGGTGCCCTCAATTCTGATATGCATCCATGCCCACATACGAGTATCGTTTAATCCGTCATATCAGACTTTGCGTTGTGAAGCAATTAAACCTCTCTGATTCTCAGGATCAGAGACAATTCTGACTATTATACACGAATTACGTTTCTCTATCCAGTCACACTCCACATGACTAAATCAAATGTCGGTTGCATGCTTTTGTTACAGTGATCAAGCTGCAGAGGTAGAATTGGATGATGTCTGGTTCGCCTATCCATCCCGTCCTAGCCACACGATCCTCAAGGTTAGGAGCATATCTTCTTATAAAATACCTATATGAACAAAAATGGTTGTTGACCAAGAAAACACTGTTGGTTCAGGGTATAACACTGAAGCTGCCATCTGGTTCAAAGGTTGCACTGGTTGGTCCAAGTGGTGGTGGAAAGGTAAGACCCTTTGTTATTAAAGTTCCATATCATGCCTATGCAGTTCCACACTTTCAGTTTGTGTTGTTCATCAAAAAGAAAGAGTCATGACAGCTCATGAATTCTTTGCTGCAGACTACAATAGCAAATTTGATAGAAAGATTTTATGATCCCGTTAAAGGGAAGGTCTTGCTCAATGGGGTTCCTCTGGTTGAAATATCTCATAAGCACCTACACCATAAGGTAATGCTGGAAATAAATAGAGTGTTCGTGATGCTAATACTCTCTTTGCATGAAAAGTAGCTGATATTTCACCATACAATTCCTCAACATGTAGACACCTTAAAGGCTTTGCCCCTTCCCCCCCGTCTTTTTAAGATAAAAATGACGTTTTTCAGCTTTTACAAGTTGTAGATTCCTAAAGTAATTCATCTCTTTCAAAAAATGTCAGGTTAGTATAGTGAGCCAGGAACCTGTTCTTTTCAACTGTTCCATCGAAGAAAATATTGCCTATGGATTGGGTGGCATAGCAAGCACTGATGATATAGAAAAAGCAGCTGTAAGTTTCAATGTCTTTAATGTCTAATTGCATTCTTCTGCAATTATTCTAACTGTTATCACGTTGCTGTTTGAACAGAAAATGGCGAACGCTCATGAATTTATATCCAACTTTCCTGAAAAATATCAAACCCATGTTGGAGAACGAGGATTGAGACTTTCTGGTGGTCAGAAGCAGAGAATTGCAATTGCTAGAGCGCTGCTGATGAACCCAAAAGTTCTATTGTTGGACGAGGCTACGAGCGCTCTGGATGCTGAAAGTGAATATCTTGTTCAGGTCTGCTTTTATCTGATACTGCCTGTCTTATATCTCCCTTGATTGTTTTACTTAATGACCTGAGATCTCTTGTAATAGGATGCCATGGATTCCCTAATGAAAGGCAGAACCGTTCTTGTCATAGCTCATAGGCTTTCGACTGTCAAGAGTGCAAACACTGTGGCTGTTGTTTCCGATGGTCAAATAGTGGAAAGTGGCACACATGATGATCTTCTAAACAAGAATGGGATCTATACAGCACTAGTGAGGAGGCAATTGCAGGGACACAAATCTGATAGCTAGTTCTCAGCTTTATTCAAAGCCAAGTGATAGACTGAGTTAGCAAGAAGAAATGTTCAATGAATTTGCATTCACATATAGAAAGTGTAAGGAACAGCAATCATTCCATAAATGACGATTTGTAAACAATAGTTCGATATCATATGTGCAAATCATGCATTTTAACCATTTCAAAACTTAGAGTAAGCCATCTAAACTACCTTCATGTAAAATGGTGTTTGAGTGAGTTATGAGCATCCCCCATGTCAATCAAACCTTGGAATTGGCTGGTTTGCATCTAAAGGGTCATTTGTTTAGTATCTAATTCCGGTATAAAATTTGGAATTATGTTTGATATGGGCAAAAATTTATATCACATTGAATGCGAGATTATAATCCCTGATATGGACAACTCACCCTGAACCACTACACTTTTTGTCAGTTGGTCATTTGTTGCACAGTAGAGATAGAAGCCAATTCGCCCTATTGGCAGGCGTTTCCATTAATTACCTCCTTCACTTTTGGTACTTCTTAATCAGACCCAGCCATTTGCTTTTTCTTCTTCTTCACTCTTGACGTTTCCATTCCATTTAATGACAATCTCTTCTAACCTGAAATACTTACTACTCGAGCTTGTCATGTTTATCAAAGGAAGGAAAAAGTAATTAATTGAAATAGATACCATCTAGTGTATAAGCCTTCACGAAGTAGCTTAAAATTCTTCGTCTAGTGTATCTACTGAGTAAGTACAACCCTTATATGCAATAAAACTAAAAAATTCTTGTGGTTAAGTAGCTGAATATCGTAAAATAATGTAATTTGTTTTAATATGACCATTACTTATCATTAACTTGAATTAAGCAAATTTTCATTATTGTTTTATATGTTTTAACCCGATCTAAACTGCTTTTTAGCACCCCTAAATTAAACAATACCGAGTATGGTTCTCACCTTCTCATCGTAGTATTTGAAATTTGATTCAGGTGCTTTGGGTAGTGGGTCCGATGGATAAGTTATCTTTATTTACATGAATAGTCCCCAATGTTTGTGAAATGAGTACAATTTGTTGTACAGACTCTGGAGACCGTGACACTTGTTAATGGCCGTTTCTCACTCGCCTGTCGCTGCATGTTATTAATCTCAGTCATGAAAACGCCAGAAACCCATTTAACCTTAATCGAAACTTAGCATAATAACACTCTCCTTCTTTGTTGCACATTTTATTTATTTTCTAAAAAAAACTACGCTTTTGGCTTTTGATTAGATTATTATTGCGGTGCGTTTGGTTCACTGGAGTTGTTATTAAGCATGAGATGGGAAAGAGTGGGTGTACATGGAGGTGGTGGGCCTGGGAAAAGGTGGGGCCACACCTGTAACTCTGTCTTCGGAGGTAAGCTTCTCTACGTCTTCGGTGGCTATGGCAAAGACAACAGACATTCCAATAAAGTTCACGTCTTTGACACTGGTGCGTTCTTTTTCTTTCGTTTTTTCCAAGTAAAAATTGCACCTTTTCTTGTTCCTGTATTTTTTCCCCCTGAAATTGTTGTGTCAATTCATGTTTTCTTGTGGCTATTTTCAGTATGCTTGTTTAGGGTTTTCTTATACTATTTAATTTTCTCTGAAGACTTGGGGCTTTAAAGTTTTGTTGCATAAGGAATTGGGGAGAGGTTTTGATAAATCTATCCTTACATTGTTCTGCTATTTTGCAGTTAATCGAATGTGGAGCGAGCCAGTGATGAAGGGAACATTGCCCACACCTAGGGACAGCCACAGTTGTACAAACATTGGAGATAATCTGTTTGTGTTTGGGGGCACAAATGGGAGAGAGCCTCTTAACGATTTACATATTTTGGACACTTGTTAGTGCATTTTGATCTTAAGACCATTTTCTTATTGCTTAATCTTTTAATAGTTGCCTCTGTTGTCTGTGTAATGGATTAGAATATCTCTAGTCTAATGGTATGAGGATAAACCCTTAAGTTATTACATTTTGTGTTGTTCTACTTAGGAAGTTGTGTTACATTCTGTTCTATGAGATTAGAAAATCACCATTAATGCCTCAGTCTAGATGGAAGATAATTCTTTCTTTCATTGATTTGGGGCTATTTACAAGATTTAGGCTGGTCTCTCCTCTCAGAAACCAGGAAAGAGCTTCAAGATAATCTGTTAGTAGTTTCTTTATCTTACCTTATCAGAAAGAAAAAAGATACCCCGAATTGTTATTCCCAAAAGTGCGATGTTTTCCAGAGAGACGATAGCATGAGATAAAACATGTTCTGTTCTTCCATTTGTTTGAATGTTGAAAGTTGGCAGATATAAGGAATTCTATCTGATGTTCCAAATGATTTACGCCCACTACCTAATAATTTGCTGAATCTACTTGCTTTTAGCTTCAAATACATGGATATCACCGAGTCTAAGAGGCGATCGCCCTAATCCAAGGGAAGGCCACAGTGCAGCACTTATTGGAAAACGGCTTTTCATATTTGGTGGATGCGGCAAATACGATGACACTGAAATATACTATGATGATGTTTACGTATTGAATACAGGTCTCTCTCTCTCTCTCTCTATTATTAAGGTGGCTAATGGTAGACTGCACGTAGCCAGTACGGAGAATTTTGCATTATGACTTGCGTGTAACAATGTGAAATTCCGAACAACTTCAAAAACCATCGAACTACTGATAGAAAGATGAGGGCAATGGGGAGGGTAGTGATACAAACTTTAAATTGGTAGTAATGGAAGAGGAAAGTGAAGAAAAACAGGAGGCATCAGCCAGTCGTTTCTGTCTCAAAATTTTAGTTCTCTTAGGAATTGAACTCTAAGCATTGCAACTCTTCAGAAAAGAAACCTCCCCTGTCTAGTAGTATATAATCTGAGAGAAAGTTAGATGATCTCTTCAAAGGTGAACTCAAATTGTTCTTATCCTATTGTTCATATGCATTTTGTATTCTACTGCTACTTAAATCGCTAAAGTCTTGCACAGTTGTTAGGAATCCAGTTTTTAGATCTCATGCAGCTCTTGGTTTTCTTTTCTATGAAGTTTATGGTTTTTAATCTCACACACACATAAAAGAAAGAGAGAGAGAAGAGC